TTTTAAAAAAAAAAAAAAAAAAAAAAAAAAAAAAAAAAAAAAAAAAAAAAAAAAAAAAAGAGAGAGAGAGAGAGAAAGAAAAGCAGAGAAAGGAGAAGTGAGCACCTCAGACAGAAGACAGACTCCACTTCCTTTTTTTTTGTTTTTTGTTTTGTTTTTTTAAAGATGACGGGTAAGGAGATCTTAACCTTGTCTTGGTGTTGTCAGCATCACACTCTCTGAAGTGAGCTAACCGGCCATCCCTATATAGGGATTCAAACCCATGGCCTTGGTGTTATCAGCACCACACTCTCCCAAGTGAGCCACAAGCCGGCCCTCAGACTCCACTTCCTTGCTGAAGGCCTCCACCAGAGTCCAGAGTTTCCTCCACGCACAAGGAGAAAGACATCCAGGCTCAGAGAGAGGAGAAATCAAGGCCTGGCCCCATCAAAACATGCTTTTCCAGGGCCGGCCCGTGGCTCACTTGGGAGAGTGTGGTGCTGATAACACCAAGGCCACAGGTTCAGATCCCTACATATGGATGGCTGGTTAGCTCATTTGGGAGAGCGTGGTGCTGACAACAACACCAAGTCAAGGGTTACGATCCCCTTATCGTTCATCTTTAAAAACAAACAAACAAACAAAAAAGTGCCTTTCCACGACATCCCATACATGACTGAACAGCACACCCCCTCGAAAAGGCAAAAATGTTAACGCCCCCACATGTGGGGGGGCAGGGAAGCACTTTTTCTGAAACTAAGATCAACAAGGTCCACGTTTTCTCTGTTGGTGTCACAGCCCTGCTCAACACTCCTTCCTGCTCCCTGATGATAGAGCACCCATGTTTCCCACCCACTCACAGCACCCCGGAAACTACCTCCACCACCTAAAGTTTCTATTTCAGTGTTCACCTGCTACAATTAGAACATCAATACCTTGCATTATTTTCCCCTACTGATTCATGTTTACCATATAAACACAGTGACGGGAAATATCCTTGAAAAGGAAAACTGATCACCTGTTCTCCCATCTCCCTAACATAAACTGTTTTTTATGTTTTACACTCCTCCTGTAATCTGTGGTTCCACGCCTGTCTGTTTACCTTGATGAACTGAGTCCTACCTAGGAACAAGCATCAGGGCCCCTCATGTACTCACCAGACTCCTCCAAGCAACGTTTACTGCACCCGGAGTGATGGTCTTCATAAAAATCTAAGCATGCCCCCACCCCCCGCACTCACAATAAAACCCAACTTCTTTCCATGGCCCTTGGGCTCTGCGGGACCCTCTGGACTCATCGATCACCATGCTTCCCTGGTCACTGCCCTCCATCCACCCTGCCCCACTTTCCACTCCTCCACCAGGCTCTTTCCCACTTCTGATGCTTCTGCCCTCAGCTGAAATGTCACCTCCTCCAGGCAGCCTTCCCTGATCACCCTATTGGGATTAACCCCCACCTCACCATTCTCCATCCCAGCCCCTCGTGTGTGTTCTTCAATGCATTTATTAAAACTTGCACTGCTCTTCTATGTCTGTTTGCTGTCCCCCTCATGAGGTCATAAGTGCCACACAAGAAGGAAAGTGATGTCATGTTCACCCCAGTAGACTGACACAACACACAGTAGGTACAGAGGAAATATTGTCCAGAGGACAAAAATGGAGCCTCCGCCCTTGGCTGCCCTGATGTTTGGGCCCCCGATGGGGTCACTAGAGGTCAGTTCCTAGGCCCAATTATCTGAGGACACTCCAGGCCTTCCAAGTGACACAGGCAGCAGTAGGCTAGGGCTGGCATCACCTCTGAAGCACACCCCTCATGAGTCCTGCTGCCCTTCCGGGGGTCCGAGGTGCCCCCCAGCACTTGGCTCAGCTCTTCCTCTGGGTTCCACCTGCTCAGGCTTCCCCAGACACCACCCAACCCCTATCAGCATCACCCCAGTAAGGGAAGAGCTTGCGCCAGCAGCGAGAGAAGGAAGCGCCGGCGGAAACCCGAGGGAGGGTGCGCGTCTGGCGAGGGGCTCCCCCTCTCCAGCTGACACACCCAGACTCTCCGAGGCAGAGGGAAGAGGGGAATGTCCTCACACCCCAGACGAGGGGGGAGGCGATCAGGGGCGATATGGAGAGCGAGCCTGCGCCAGCCAGCAGCTCCCCGAGCCCCGGCTCCCCGGAGAGGCCGACCGGAAGCCGGGAAGGTAGCAAGAACCTCGCAGGCCTCAGGCCTCGGCCCCGGCCGGGAGGGCCGCGCCGCCTCGGGGGTCCGGGAGGGAGGCGGGCTGACCGGACGGACCAGCGGGATCACCGAGTGGTCAGAGCGCGTCCCAGGAGCGCCGGACTCTGCCCTCCGGGCAGCGACGGACCGGCCCGCACGCCG